AGTGACAACAGCAGCCACCCCCATTTGCTGGTCTACCAGGCACTGTCCTGGCATATGCTACTTAATGCTCACCACGACCTTAGAAAATAAACATTACTTTGCCCATTTTACAGATCAGGCAACCAGGTTTAGGATCTTATGCAAGGTCACATATTGATTCAATCAAGTATTTATTAAGTGACTACCATCTGGTTCAGCTGGGTGCTGAGCACCAGGGACAGGCTGCAGGTGACACACGTTAAGCAACCACACAAGTAAAAAACATGATTACAGTCGTAAGAGCCACGGCGTGAAAAGACTGGGTGCTGAGTGCTTGCTGCAAGAGAGAACAATGGGGTCCCTAGCGAGTTGGGGAAGGGGGTTAGGGACCGCCTCTCTAACAAGGTCACTTTAAAGCTGAGACACGAGGTTAAGGGGCCTGCCATTCCAGGAGGGGGAGAAAGGGCGGTCCAGGCAGAGGCAGGAGCATGCGAGAAGGCCTCACCGCGGCGGAGAAGGGCAGCCTGGATGGGAAGGGAGAGGCGGCAGCAGCCGATGCCACAGGGCAGGGTCTCGTGGACCACGGCCAGGGATTTCACTCCAGGGTCAAAGAAACGTCACAGAAGGGCCAGGAGAAGCTGAAAACTGATGGGGCGGAACCGAGGGAGGTGGCTATAACAGAATCTTCCTAGCAGAGGGGACACCGGCAGGTACTGCGGACCCACGTGTGCCAGGCACCACGCCAGGTGCTTTCCACACTGAGATTTGAGGAACCCTCAGGACAATTCTGAGTGAAAGACAGTATGAGCCCCTTTACAGATGAGGTTCTAGAAGCAACCTAACCAAGGTCGCAGGTCAGTTAGTGACGGGGCCAGACCTAAAACCCAACTCTGCTCATCCCCAAGTGCACGTCACATCCACGTAGCACGGTGCCTTAGAAGCTCCAGGGCCACCCAAACAGGGCGGGGGCCGAGGATGAGGGGAGCTATTCTCTGGTCAGAAGCTAACTCGCCACAGAGAGGTTACAGAGCAAATCTGAAGATGCAGACCACCTCGCCACACCACAGATAAAACACTGAACTTGACCAACTGCCTCAGCTGAAACCAAGACTTTTCAACAGACAGGAATACAGCAGGGAGGGTACAGCTCAGTGGTAGAGGGCATGCTTAGCATGCATCAAGATCAGGGGTTCGATCCCTGGTCCCTCCGTTAAATAAGAAACAATAATAATAATAATAAGTAAATAAACCTAATTACCTCCCCCACCAAAAATTTTTTTAAATAAATTTTTAAAAAAAGAATAAGGGCCTTGCTACAAGAACACCAGCACCTCGGGGAAGGTGGGTTTGAGACAAGAGTGGCAGAATCTGCCCAAAGGAGATAACGTGTACAAAGACAAGAGCCCTGGGATACCCATCACAGCTTTGACCAACAAGAAAGGACCAACCAGACAAGCTCCCTCTGAGGACCACAGACTGGCCGACCTCCTGCTGCGGCCCGCCACACAGGTACATATACCCCCAGCTGATGCAGGTATTAGAAAACGGATCGCCAGTTTAAAGACCCAAAAGGAGGCATGCGGTTTTCACAGGTCAGAAGAGGACTTGCACAGAACACAGAGCATGGTAGAAAGACTTCCCGTGCCACAGGCCTGGGTTCAGAGCCTGAATGTCCCTCCTCGTCTCTGGGCTTCAGAGTCCCCAGGCATCAAAGAAGGGCCTGAATGAGACACTCCAGGCGCTCCTCCAGCTCCGCGATTCTAACCTCCTTCTCAACATTCCCAGACGCCCCTCAGCTCAGGCATCGCCCCTTCCCCACCGCACACAGCAGCCTTCTAACTGAGCACACCACCGCCAGCCTCGCTCCCTCCTCGCAATTACCAGCAAGCCTATCTTCTGTTTATTCAGTTGAAGTTGTGGTTGACTTACAGTGTTGTGTTAGTTTCTGGTGCACAGCACAGTGATTCAGTTTTATACGTATCTATGTATAAATGTATACATACATATATTCTTTTTCATATTCATTCCCATTATGGGTTTATTCCAGGATATTGAATATAGTTCCCTGTGCTACAGTAGGACCTTGTTGTTTATTTTATATATAGTAGTTTTGTATCTGCTAATCCCAAACTCCTAATTTATCCCTCTCCCTCCTTTCCCCTTTGGTAGCCATTATTTGTTTTCTATGTCTGTGAGTCTGTTTCTGTTCTGTAAATCAGTTTGGCATGACTCTGGTCATTTGTCTTCCCAGATTAATGTCCATCACCAGCTCCCTTTCATCTTCAGGACAAAAAACCTGCAGAATCTGACCCCTGCCTATTTCAGGGGCTTCCCTACGTCTCAGACCCCCTCACACTGCCTCCTTCCAGCCAGAGGGAACTTACACCTCCCTAAACCCATCACACGGTGGTGTGCCCGTCTCTACATTTGCACATGTGAGTGCTTGTGCCTGAGATGCTCTCCCAGTCCTCCCACCATGTCCAGTCCCTACTTGTCGCTGACCCAACTCAAAAACGCCTCCTCCAAGAAGGCTGCCCTGAGTACCCCCAGGCCAGGTTGAGGGCCCCTGGTCTGTGCCTCACAGCGCCCTCTATCATGGCACTATTTTCCCACCCATCTCCCCAACTAGACTGTGAGCCTCTTGAGGGAGACTTACCGAGTCTTAATCCACTGCAAAGTCCCCAGTCCCTGGCACAGCCTGGCCCAGGGCACATACTTGAAAATATTCATTGATGAATGGATGAACTCAAAGCAAACTGGGAGGCCTTTATTTTGCTAGACCTTAGCTAACAGACCCTGATGTTCAGATATCCGTCATCCAAGATTAGAGTAAGACGAATCATGAGATTCCCCTTTAAATCAAAAGTACTCTAGCCCCCTCTTTAATATGCACGCTGACTTTACAATTAGCATTAGATACCAAGAGCATCTCTTGTAAGCATCCCAGAAAAGAGATCGTGCATTTAGCTCAAGCCAGATGAAAACGTTCAGTGACTTACAAAGACCTGAAAAGGAGACACTGAGAACAGGGTGGGCATTTCAATTTCAACTACAGAATTTGCTCTTGAAAAATACTACAATAAAAAACATTAATGCCATAAAAACCTATGAGCAGCCAAAGGACCAAAGTCATAAAGAAAAATATAAATCCTAAAACATATTGTCACAGAAGACTCTCTCTTGCCTTTAAGAAAATCAGTATTTAGGTCATTAAGAACATGGCTGAGCAAGGGAAACAAATCACATGGCAGAACAGAGGAAAGTAACAAGAATAAACAGAACAATAAGGAGAAACAGGTAACACACAGAATGAACTCTGGGCTAGGCCTATGTGCCGCGCATGTATTCACTCATTAATCTTCACCCTATCTCTAGGAAGCAGAAGCATTATCATACCCATTTTCAAGACAAAGAAAGTACAGAGAGGTTAAGTGACTGGCCCGAGGTCACCCAGCAGAAGTGGATGAACAGGCAGTCTGGCTCCAAAGCCTGCGGTCTGGCTCCACTGCCTCAGAGAACAGCCTTGCCACACCACATCCCTGGGCCTCTGTTTCTCCTACCTATCATAAAGAGGGCTAGATTCAATTCTAAGATCTCTCCCAGTTCCAAAGGCCGACAACAAAGTATAAAGCCAAAATTCTAAGATTCTTGTTAAATTTTTCCATCCAGAAATAAAATTCAAAACTGTGCCCTCCAAAAATTAAATAACTCTGTATCTTCCAGAGCTGCTTTAATATTAAAGTAATATATATGAAGAGCTTAACACTTCAAGTTTCCAGCTCAGAGCAAGAACTCAATAAGTGGCTGTTATTACTCTTATGATAAAACAAGAACAACCATTTAATAGTAGAGCGCATTTTAATTATACACAATGTGGAATAATCAAATCTCATTTGTTTGAGGCCCCAGACCCCACGGCATAGATCGGGTTGTACAGTCGAAATTATAACAACTCGAAGCTCAGAAATTACTTGTTTCCATTAGAGATCTGACAAGTCATTTCTTCAATTGGTCACTGGTGGTTTGCACATAACTGTTTGCAGTAATGAGTATTCTAAATTAAATCCAGAGACAGCACCGCTCGATTCTGTAAAGACAGCTGGGGAGGGAGAAACACGATTGTGGAACGTCCTTCTCTCTGTGTCCTCCGTCTCCTCGCTGATAAATATCTCCTGTGTCTTGCATAGTATGGATTTCATTTGGTTACAAATGAAGACGGGTCTAATTCTTCCCATGACAAATGAGAGCGCTGCGCAGGTAACTTGTTAAGGAGAATTGGAATTGGGAAAATAACCTTATTTTCCTGTTGCTTGACAACAAACCCCATCCGCTAACAAATGAAAGACACAATCCTGGAAGACATCAGGCATCGAAGCCAAATCCATCACCAAGCAATCCACCCTCAAGACAATTACCAACCGGCACTGGGTACTGGACGCTCACGCTTCCTTCAACAGCAGCAAAGATGCAGCCTACCAAATACAAGTAGGAGGCACAAGGCGGTGGAAAGAATAATGGCTTTGGGATCAATAAAGACCTGGATTCAAATCCCAGCTCCATCACTCAAGTATCATGTGACCATAAACAAGCCTCCGCTAGTCTTAAGATTCCTCATCTGTAAAATGGGAATACAAAACATCTGAAAGAGTTATAGTAAGGATTAAGTAGGGACCATAAGTAACGCGCCTTGTATTATAGGAAAGCCCTTGACGCATGTTAGTTTCTCTCAACTGTGCCCCATGGTAACATCCCCTCGCTCAGGACACCAGAAATACACCAAGCTCCCCACAGCTGGACATTACTGAACTTGTCGGAAACCTTAACTGGCCCGGGTATACAGGGCTGACAGTGGAGGAGTTTAACAGTCATACAGAGAGCGCCCATGAGCCCCAGAGTTCCTCCTAATTCTGGTTTCATCCAGCCTGGACGCTTCTTGAGAAATACGGCTCCCTCCTGGGTCTGGCTGGACTGTGACAGCAGACGTGATTTGTGAGGGATGATGATTCAGTATCCCCACTTACATTTTCAAAGTCCTTCATGTTCCGTGCTCTGCTGGGAGACACCGTTTCTTCTGACACGTTGGGGAGCACTATAAAAAAGCAAAAGAGACACAAGAAAACATCGCTATATGCAAATTTGCCCAGCATCCCTATTAGGCAAGACAAAAAAATAACTGGCTTCCACAATATATTTGGTCTGTTGTGATTTACTGATTTGAGTCTACGGAAAGCTCTAAGCGATCATGTTGCAAGTATTTACAAATTACTTGAACTAGCCCCAGTGTAACAATGTACGTGTCAGAGGATGAACCCAAAAAATGCATGTGGCAAAGCAGAACTGTTCTGGGATGGACTTCCTTACCGCTTGTCATAAAATTATTCTGCTGAACGGGATATCATCTTCACGTGTCATCAACTAAAACAATGCGTGTCTAACCAACTTGACAGTAGGGGTTGACAAACTTTTCCTTCAAATGCCAGACAATAAATATTTTAGGCTGTGCAGGCCATACACAAAGCCTCAAATCTGTCACAACCGCTCAACACAAAAACAGCCACAGACAGTTCAAGAACAAAGAAGCTGTGTTCCAAAAGAAGTTTATTTTCAAAAGCAGGCAGTGGGTCGGGAACGGCCAATCCCTGCTTCAGAGTGATTAAAGACTTTGCCAATACCCAAATCTTAACACAGATTCTCTAATTCAACAAACATTTATTAC